ATGCAAATGCTTCGTGTTATATATCACAGATATTGTACATACATATATGTATATAAAAATAATACTTAGAATAAAGAATCTATGATATATTTTTTCATATATCCCACATTCGCGTTTCAAAAGTTCATCATAATTATTATAGGTATACAAATGCCACGAATATAATTTTTTTATAAAATAAAATAAAATATAATAAACTTAAATAAAATAAAGTTTCTAAATAAAATAAAATATTATTCCGAAAAAAAGCATCGAAAGAGCACGTCTATATGCAATTACTCATACGGAAATATGTAGACTAATTACCAGTATTTACAGATGTTGAAACTGGCATTTCAGGAATGATAGGATAAAATTTCTTAAAATGGTCGCGTTTTCGCGCGATAGTAATCACCATTCGAGGATTTATTAATGACCCGTGGCGAAATAAAGAATGTCGACAAAAAAATGCGAAATTGTATGAACACGAAACGCACCCGATGACAGGGATTGTCATCTGATAAAGGAGCGCGAAATAAACGGAACGCGGCCGGACCAGTTCAATAATAAATGTTAAACGGCATTTTGCCGCAAACCACGTAGATAAAATTAACCGCAATGAAATTTGACGACGACTAACTTCATGGAATTATCAAATCGATTTTTATCGCGAATGGTAGAACGTGAGGCAACAGCGAGCTAAAATGCACAGGAGAGAGAAATTCACATCGTTTTCTTAAATTATATTTAGCCGCGGTGAAAATGTCGGAAGAAATAAACTATCGGCGAATTTTGTTGCGCTAAATGTCATAGAAATTAGGGAAAATTAGAATTCGAATCACTTGATTAATGTGTTTTAAACTAATGGATCGACAATGAAATTATTTTATAGATATTTTGACAAGTAGATGTTAGAATATTTATTGACTTCTGCTTTATTGACTTATGTACTTTTATTAAATATTTTACCTTGATTTGCTTGACACACATTTGTAAGTTAAAACGTCAATATAAAAAATTGAAATAATTTTGTTGTATTCAAGTTATCTGATGCATACAGATATAATTATTATTTGTGTACGTCATTTCTGTGCTAAGTGTAAAACAATGTAGAATATAGAGACACCGTACAGCTATGCGCTTTCTATTTGATCATGCATTTGCAGTCTCGTCTCGATTACCGTCGGAAAATTATTACGACATAGTTGCATAGCTTACCAACGATCTTGCAATAGGCGAGAGCAAAATATTCTCTCTACAATATCGATAACTGCGACAACATTAGACATGAGCAAACGTGTAAATATGTACATATCGCCTTATTCATTAAAGTTTATTTTTATCCTCTGATCGCAATTTCTAATTAAGATAAATGTATCTAGAGAACAATATCATCATTAAAACAATAACTTCTTTCTTTTTCTCGAAAATTTTCCTTATTTAATTTTCTTCTTAAAACTATCGAAAATATGTAAATTTAATTTAATATATAAATGTAATTTATATATAAAAGAATTAAAATTGATCTTAAACACAGCCGAATTTGAATAGAATTATTTCCCGATGTTTAATAATTTTTATATTATTCAAAATCGACAAATGCTTGCAAAAATATACAACATATAAGGAGACATATCAAGGAGAAAAAAGTTCCCTAACACAAATATAGCAATTATGTGTGTTGTACCTATATACATATATTTATTTATATTATTTTCATGTTGCATCTAAGTATTTCAATTCTTATGAATAATTTGCATTTTTTAACTTGTGCAATATTTTAGCACCTTTTATCAAACAAAATAAAGAGGTCACCAAGAGATAAATTACAAATTGTATAACATAAATGTAAAATACCTATCAGATGTGTAGCGTGCTTCAATTTGAGCTTATATAACTGCTTTGAAAATAAACAGATTTTTTATTGTACGATCTATGCCCGTGTTTATTCAAATGAGCAGCGCTATTCTAAGACTGATTTGTGTAAGATAGCGATACAGGTGCGTGTAAGTGCAGCGAGATAATCTTCGACCCTTCGAGATATCGAACGGCGCTTCCGATCGGTGTCCTTCGCACGAGCGCGCAAGCAAGTGAATAAATTTCTTTAATTTATTACTTTTCCGCGATACGCATCGGTATGCTTCCATCTATGATTTATGAGGAGATTACTTAATGATTACGATAGTGCGATAATCGATAGAATTGTGTTTTAATCTTTTGCTTAATATAATTCATTCTTCAAAACATTGCCCCCACTGTCATCATTACGTAGCTCGTTCGTTTTCTTTTTAGCATGTTTATGATTTTAAATTATATATTATTAATTTGTTTTAGAAAATAATTCATTTTTTATATATACATTCTTTTCTATTTTCAGTTTTTCCAAAGTTTATAATATTAACATTTGCTTCTTTATATCTTGATTGATAAAAAAATATTTCTCAGTAAAAAAAATTTTTTTATACGGTGCACTCAGAAAGTGAAAAAAATTGCTTGTATCACGTTTGATTGTTATTGGGAATATGTCATTCTCTCTCTTTCTTATAAAAATCTAAAGATACTCGAATGTGTACGTTTCGACTAGTTCATATGATTATTTATAGCAACTGCGATTTGTTCAATGACAAACCATAATGCTCTCTTGGCAACATTTTATTATTATTCTTTTTATTTTCATATAAGTTTCTATATTATCTTCATAAATCATTATCAATACATTTATGAAATATGAAGATATTACTTGTAACATATTACATTGTTGATTTGCAAATGTATAATTTATTAACTATGAAATCTTTTAATATGGTAATTGAATTACTCATTTTGATTACTCATTTCTTAACTATTTAAATATGTGTATGATTAGAGAATTAATACAATCGAGAGTAATATACAAAATAAAAAGCGCTTTAATTTTATACACTGTGAATTTTTTTAAATAAAAAAATGTTCACATATCAATATTTTTAACAATAGAAAAGAATTTTTTTAAACATAAAATTTTTAAGTTTTGCAATAAGTGAGCAAATGTTTAATTATAAATTTTAAAAAATATAGGATATATAAAAGAACTATATATATGTAATTAGAAAAATAAATTACTTTCCATGTAATACATATTTAAAGTGATGGACAGCATGTAAAATAAATTTGTCCCATCTAGAGAGTTGAGACGAACAAACTACGCATAGTAAATTTGATGGCGGTATATTAAAGAACAAATCATATGAACAAAAGATTAAGACCTATAAATTCGTCTCTTTTCCGAAGATATTGGAAGCGTAACAAAGTCCTTCACTTTTAATCTTAAAGAAATCCAAGGCATTTCAAGGTTTTTCTTTATTGTTGCTTCCCTGGACCCGATAAAATATACGATAACATAATAATGCGCAGATATTCGTATGTGTTTGTGACAGCTGCGTAATAAATCTCATTTTTTTTTTCAAGGATTTGCGTGGTACGTTTACCTTGATATATATTACATAGTATATATAGCTGCACACAATACGCACGTACATATACACATCTCAGTAAACATTTGTGAATATAATTAATAATATTAATTATCGATACATATTTATTTTTAGATTTAATAACTTTACTGTTTTTATAAAAATATTTCAAAAAATATATAATTAATAAAAAAATGTATTTTTGCAAAACACAAAAATTAAATTAATTAAAAATTAATGTAAGTACTTTTTAATTACATTCTCTTTTAACTCTAATATCTGGTTTTTATTTTTCCTTATGATTATTAAATTACAAACAGCTTTATATCAAGTGAAATACAAATTTTTAGATTAAAAAAAGATTATTTATTTATTTATTACTATTAATTTTTTCTCAATAAACATCTTATTGTCCAAGATATCATTCTAACAATCTATGAAACAAATTAAAGCATAAACTAATTATAAAATATTATTTTAAAATCCGATGAAAAATCAAAATGACTGAATTTATGGCTTTAGTTTAATAAAAATTGAATGTTAAATGAGTTAAATAACAAGCATTAATATTTATGCAGAATACAAGGTAGTTAATTGTAAGTAAAAAATTGATTTCACTTTCGAAATATGTGCCTGTTTGACTCATCAGACAAACGATTGAGTACCGTTTCTCATCTTAACGGCAAAAAATCATAGAATGGATCGCGTAATATATAAGATCGAGAAATCAGCGCTATTCGCTTGACCGACTGCCATATATTGTAATTCTAATATCGCAATAATGCTCGTTGCAAAAGTAACGCTTTAATGATTAAAGTAAGAACAGGATATTTCTCAGCTCTTAAATATAAATTACGAAATTTAGAATTGTTCTCTTCTTTATAATCTTTTATCCGCGATTAAAGTCGCTGAAATCAACGTTAAGATCAAGATTCGTAGATTTATAGAGGCAATAAAATAAAAAAGTTTAAGGAATAGAGTAATTATATCTTTTGTATTTAAATGAATAATTATGGAAACAATTGTATGTATTATATTTCATATTTGTTCCATTGCTTTAACTATATTATCATATTATATACCGTTTTACTTTTGACGAAAGAAAATTGATCATGTTAATATAAATTTGATGGCAACATATAATAATTTGTAAAATATTTGTGTATTATTTCTCGATGATAAATAAAATATAAATAATGCATACATACAGTTTCCAAAAAATTATGTATTATTAAAAGTATTATTAAAATGTATTATTATGTATTATTAAAAGTAATTAAACATTAATTAATTCATAAATGAATAGATCATTTTTGCAAAATTATTATATAAAGCTAATAGTTTCATCACTTAATACCTATATATTTCAGAAGAACAACAACTAGAATATATATGCGGAAAATAGCTTAGAGAAAACCACAGAAACCGTCTTATTAGAAAGATAACTTGATTAGTGGTATCTTCTCAACCACGAGAAACGCCAAGTTTTTTTGCTCATCCTTCCGCTATAATTTCAAGATTCCTCGATTATGCGCGCTTATTTTACGTATTTTTCCTTTTTGCCCATAGATACCTTCATGCTGATAATTCTGGGCTTGCTCGGTATTGCATCCGGTTGCTTCATACTACTGTTCCACCCCTACGACTTACTTTTTCAATGGAAAGCGACATTCAGCGAGGGAGGCGAGATGTTCGAATTGTGGCGGAAACCTGAAGCCGACGTTTATTTAAAAGTTTACCTCTTTAACATAACAAATCACGAGGAATACCTAGATGGTCGAGAGAGCAAGCTGCGATTCCAACAAGTTGGTCCTTACGTGTACAAGTGAGTAATAAAATATGTAAATCGATTCATTTTACGTTTCTTAGAAACAGATATATGAATCATTTTTTTATTAATTCAAAATTAAAGATTATATGTAAATTCATATATGAGCTTTAGAGAATTTAAAAAAAACGCGTTTTATATCATTATAATACTTGATAAAACCTCATTAAGGCGTACACAAAAAAAAAGTATATTGAGGAAGGTCTCTGGAAAAACCGAGCGGTAGAAATGATAAAATTACATGTTCGTGTTTTATAAAAAAGAAAAAATGAATAATAATCATGAAAACCGAAGGTCGCTCAATCATTAATGATGTTCAAGAATGTAAGGAAGAAATGGTTATAAAGCGATGTTGTAAATAATAATTAATGAATGGACGCGAAATCTAGTTTACACCTGTCTCACGTACACTTGACCTTCTGTCATCGCTGTCCAATTACGCTCTTATTTTTCGTCTCTGGCATTCAAGCGCAACAAATTTGCATTGTGTCGCAAGTTACATTTGTGTGACTGAATATTTAAGGTCGTTCTTGAAATACTTTAAACTCATTACTAGTCAACAATCTCTGAATTAAATTTCATTTAAACGAATAAATGTATATTTAGAAAAAAGTAAGTAGAAATAAAGAAGAAAAAGGAAAAGGGAAAAGAGTAATGTTAACAGAAAAGAAATGATTATATACATACAAAAAAATAAATAAACGTATTTTTTTTAATATTTCAATTAAAAATAAATAACATAAATTAAATTCATACTCTACTTATATAGTTGGATTAAAAATAATTAATTATAATATATAAAGTTATTTTTCAATAAAATATATTTTCTTGCTTCAATAATATATATTCGATTTGTTGAAAAGAATATTTTCAAAATTATAGAAAACATATTCATAAATGTATATTAATGATGTGAATATAATGATGGATGCTAACATTATTCCATGGCATATTTCGTTTCAGAGAAGTGTTAGAGCATTCAGATGTAGTATTCAATGACAACGGTACGTTATCAACGAAATCATTGCATCCACTGATTTACATACCGGAAATGAGCAACGGGACGGAAGAAGATCTTGTAATAATGCCGAATATTGCATTGTTTGTAAGTAACAAAATATTATTTTTATAAATTGTAAATAATACGGCGAAATTTTTACAAACTTATTTTAGCAAATGCGAAATACGATTAATGTGCAGCGCACGTTTTTTCTGATAAATAAACCCGTTTGTGCAAAAGCAGTTGCTTGCACTGCTGACGTTGAAAAATGTGCTGATTTCGATAAAAAAAGTTTGGAAAGAACAAAATGATAAGATCCTTACAGACATTCTGATTAGTAATTATCAATTTTGTGTTCTTCTTTGTCTTTTTTGGCTCAATTAATTGACTATTAATATCACATGTTTACGTGAATGTAAATAAGAAAAGACCTCAAGTTTTCTCAAGAGTATTCATATTTTGCTCATTTTAATATAAATGGACTCGTTATCGGATTATAAAATAAACTACGGATTTTATTTAGAATTTCTCGATGCAAATTATACATAAAACACAAGAATATGACTTAAATCGTCTTTCCTAGCATGATATATAGATCATAATTAATACTTATTAAGTGCAAAGTAATTATTAATCATGAATTTATTCGATTACATAAATATGAATCAATGAAAAAATCGGAAAAAATATTTCAATAAAATATTTTGCATGTTAAACCACGATTCGCAGAAGCATCCAATTATCAAAAGATTAAATATTATTAAACTAAGTGAAATGTTTTATATATTATTCATGTCTGACGTGTCTGATTCAACGTAAAATTATCAAAAGTTTAGCGAACGTGATTCTTAAATGATAATTTGCCGCGTATATGACGTTCAAATCAAGATGTGAAAATCAATAATATGTAACAGAAAAGTATCAACCTTGACAAATAACACGAATCATAGCAATCATAATTTCCGTAATGGAAAAAATTGAATACTTTAATTATGTGCAAAGTGTTATAAAACAAAAATCGGCATAATCAACAGGCGAAAATATAATACGTATCCAAGAATAAATTTGATAACATAAAAAGCATTTCGATTGCAACAAGTAAGAACTTATTGTTAGATCTTATTGCAACAACCATCTGCCACCTATCTAATTCTAAATTAGTGCTGATGCAACCGGTGTTCATTGGAAACTTCAGACTTCTCACCGACATTTCTATGATATTTCATTTATTTGATACGATCTAACACGTCGTAAATTTCATCAACAAACCATTAATTACGATCGATTTCGTAAAATCTTTCTTGAGCTCTATTCTTAGATTCAAGAATCTCATATGCGCAAATTTATCGACGACACATTCCATTCTTACGCAATTCACAGCATGTGTTTTCTCGGATATGTGCTTTTGCAACAGTTAATTTATCAGTTGGGAAATCGTATAACAAACGAACTGACAAACGCCCACCCTTAAAATGCTCTATTGTATTACTAATCAATCGAAAATCAGATATAACAATAGATTTCATAGATCATCCACATATTTTAATTTTCCTTAGAATTTCATAGATTGTATGTATATATATGTATACATATAAAAATTATATCATAAAGTAGTACAATATATATTGTAATACTTTATAATATAATTTTTTATAAGTAACGATCAAATAATCATAATTTATAATAATTATACAAATTATAATTATTGTAATTGTAATAAAATATTATTCATACATATACATATGTATGTGTATATAAAAGCTTTTTAAAATCAAAGATTAATTCTATTTTTTTATAAATTTCTTAATTTTAGTATCAAAGCACACGATAGTGTGCTTTGATACTAAAATTAAGAAATTTACAAGAGAAATTAATCAGTTTGGGATTAATTAGTTTGATTTTTATAATGTAAAAAAAGACTCATATAATAATAAAGACTTATTTAATATTATAATAAAATATCATGTATAAATCTCATTTTTCTCTTTCGTTATCAATTATTGCACTTACTATTATTAATGTGTATAATATATTTATATTGAATGCGCATTGCCTATCCGTAAAATAAAATCTATGAAAAATAGAATGGAATCTAAACAAGTAATTTATAAAATATACCACAAAATATACAAAATTAAATGAAATTTATCTCACTCACCGACACCGATGCACAACAGCGTAGTAGTTCAAACTACCTTGTCTGTAACACACAAATATAAATAAATTTAAATTATAATAGCATTCAAATAAATTACTATTTCAAAAAATTATTATTGGACGCGTCAAACTTTATATATTTGGAGTATAATAATAATAAACTATATATAAATATAAAATAATTTTATAAAAAAAAAATTTTTATAACATCTCTAAGTTTTTCTTTTTTAAATTATTCAAGTAAATGAACTGATGAAATAAATTAAAGTAATTTATAATAATTAATATACAAATAACAATATTCACCTTAAGATTCCTCTGCCGATGCCCGATACCTCTTCCAGGCCTCCTCCTCCTCTCAGATTATCAGGATCATCAAATCCGTTGATTAACACGCGCGATACTTTTTAAACGGCACTCCCGCACTTGTACGCGCGATACTTTTAACGGCACTCCCGAATTTTACGGTGTCTCTGTAACATACAAATATAAAATCTAAATTATAACAGCGTTAAAATTAATTAGTATTTCAAAAAAATTATTATTAGATGTGCCGAACTTTATAATCTGTGTAGGAATAAGGATTTTAATATAAATTATTTATTAATAAATTAATTAACATAAACTGTTATAGACAACTCTTTAATAATTAATATTATTTGTATATTTTCATTATTCCATATTATATGTATATAGTCAGGGTTAGTAAGTTAATAATTTTTTCAAAACTAAGTTAAATTAAGTTAATTGCTTATAAAATTAATTTAGTTAATTAAGTTAAAAGTTGCATGAACAAAAAATTAACTCAGTTAAAGTAAAGTTAAGTTAAGATGAAATTAACTAAAGTTAAATTAAAAGTTAATTTTTAAAACATTTATATTAAACTAGAATTTTGTATGTTAATTTTTTTTAAATTTATAACAACAAACACAAGAAATTTTGATTTTTATATAGAAATAAATTTTGTAGTAACTACAATTGATGGCAAATAAACATAAAAATTAATAATACTTTATATATTTTAAAAATAATACGTTTATATAACTTATAAAAAAACAATAATGTATTCAGAGATAAAAAAAATTTAACTTAGGAAAAAAGTTAATAAGTTTAAGGTCAAAAATAACTAGTTAAAGTTAAAAATTAATACATTTTAAATTAACTAAGCTAGCAATAAGTTAAAAGTTATTAACTTTTTTTAATTTTTAATTAATTAACTAGTTATTACCCAACCCTGTATATAATATATATATGTATATATATTAGTATTTTTTTCTTTTCATGTTTATTATTGTAATATAATATTCTCACAATCAGATCAGATATTATGCAGCAGGATGTATTCTTATACTCTGTACTTTATAATATACCACTGCGATTAAATATTGCTTATGACGCATCCTTTGCACGCGATACAGATTTTTTCTAAAATGTCAGATCAGATTATTCAAGTATTCAAGAGAAGTAGTCATGATTATGAGAATTTCTCTTTCGCGACGTACGAATGCATTCTCGAGAAACGCATTGCATTTGCTTTGTGAGGTCAAGAAGTTACGAAAAGTCAGGAAAAGACATATGGTGACGAGAATTAGCATCCTTTGCCTTGTCACGAGAATATTTATGCGAAACCAGTAATACATCACTTTTACT